ATAAAAGTATGTCAAAATTAAAAATCACTGATTATAAATTTATATCTACAATTATAAAATACACTCACTAATAGAAAAATAAAAATAAAACAATGAAAGCATAACCATAATCAAAAGATAACAACACAAATTAATTAGATTTTAAAAAGATCTCGACTATATAAAGATAAAAACTATTTCACGAATCCTTGAAAATCTAAACTACTGAATGAATTGATAAGTGAAATATAAGACGTAAACAAGAAGGAATAAAAACACGAGTAGAACAAAAGAAGACGGTGGAAAAGAAGATGAGAAACTTTGAGAAGAAGAAGAAAACTCGAAGAGAAAAAAAGAAAACAAAGAAGAAAAAGTGAAATGTGAAGAGAAAAAAAGACAAATAAGAAATAAATAAAAACTATAATAAGATGATGTCAGAAAAGACGAAGATGATAAAGATAGAGAGAGAGGGGAGGAATGAGGGACAAGAAAAAATCGGAAATAAAATGTAAAGAAAATTAGAAAGAAAAAGAAGAATAGTGAGTTGGAGGATATAAAAATACAAGAACCAATTGAAGAACAAAATTTGGAAAATGATGAAGAAGAAGCAGAAAAAAAGAAGATGATGACAATGGATAAAAAAATGGAAGAAAAAAAGAAGAAGATGGGATCACTAGAGAAGAATAAAAAAGAGAAGAAAACAACCATTAAAAAAAGTTTTTATAAATAAAAAAAAAATAAAAGAAAATCTAAAACTAATTTATAAGATGAGGTTCATGTGTGAAGTTGAAGAGGGAGTTATAATGTGGATTTTGGGTTTAGGGTGTAGGTTCTTTAATTAGGGGAAGAGGGGTTTATAATGTGGAGTTTGGGTTTAGGGTTTAGATTTTGGTGCATTTTAAAAATTTGAATTATTATAAAAGTATGTCAAAATTAAAAATCACTGATTATAAATTTATATCTACCATTTAAAATACACTCACTAAATAGAAAAATAAAAATAAAACAATGAAAGCATAACCATAATCAAAAGATAACAACACAAATTAATTAGATTTTAAAAAGATCTCGACTATATAAAGATAAAAACTATTTCACGAATCCTTGAAAATCTAAACTACTGAATGAATTGATAAGTGAAATATAAGACGTAGACAAGAAGGAATAAAAACACGAGTAGAATAAAAGAAGACGGTGGAAAAGAAGATGAGAAACTTTGAGAAGAAGAAGAAAACTCGAAGAGAAAAAAAAAAACAAAGAAGAAAAAGTGAAATGTGAAGAGAAAAAAAGACAAATAAGAAATAAATAAAAACTATAATAAGATGATGTCAGAAAAGACGAAGATGATAAAGATATAGAGTGAGGGGAATGAGGAAGAAGAAAAAACGTAAAAAGAATATAAAGAAAATTAAAAAGAAAAAAAAGAATAGTAAGTTGGAGGATATGAAGATACAAGAAATGATTGAAGAACGAAAATTTGAAAAAGAAGAAGCGGGAAAAAAAAGATGATGACAACGAATAAATTAATGAAAAAAAAAGAAAAGATGGGAATCAGTGAAAAAGAATAAGAGGGAGAAGAAAACAACCATTACAAAAGTTAACTATTTTCTTTTCTAGATCTTTCACAGTTTATAAGTTCGTATCAAATTAACAAAATGTTAAGCTATTACTTCTTGAAAATAAACACATTACAAAAATATGAAAAGTAATTAAAAAAAAATGCGTTCATCTAATATTAATTGAAAGGATTTGAAGTTCTAAAACATCTCTTGCCGCGCAGGCGCGGGCCAACCCTTGTATAATATAATTATAAAGCCTAATTTTAGATTATTCTTGCTTGTCTACCAAGTGTATTCTTACCCTTAAATTTTTCGTTAGACACGTAAACAACGAATATTCAGCCGTTACAAATTGCAAAATATCCACCATAAATTTCACAGAAAATATGATATTTTAATAAATCTCGAAACAAAGCTTTTCGGCAAAATTCTCTCCAAACAATATATAACCCTCAAATTTTATGTTGAACACGTAAATAGTGAATATTTTGTCGTTATATTTTCTCTTTCAAAAGTAACTAAAAAATCTCTCGTCCCCATAAGGATAAAGTTACAAATAAAAGATATATATAATATCTAACC